ATCCTGAAGGCATGAAGATTCTTTAAAAAGTTAGGAGGAATCCAATCCTGACTGTAGAGATGAAAAAATCTGAAAGTATTTATAAGAACTGAGCAAACACAGATGCTAACTCCATTTGCTGTATTAGAACATCACCACGAATGCCAAACACGTCATGTGCTTAGAACATAGCACCACTGGACAGCAGTGGCAGCGTATGACACTTGCCATAACAACAAGATTATTAAAAAAAAAAAAAAAAGCAATACTTTTAAGCAAAACACAGCAGGAACACAAGGGATCATGCTACCCCAGAAAGCAAATCTTCACACATAGACCGTATTCACACGAATACTTGGCACTGTATAGAAGTGATACTAACTTGGAAGTGGTGTTGGTTATAACCTAAAAGAAGAGAAAAAGAACAAACAACATCAAAAACAACTAAACGGAAAATAGCAATAGTTTTTAGAGTGCAAAAGGTATTTACAGAAGCTTACTAAAGCTTTATTTTCAGACCATCTACAAATAAAGAGCAAAAAGCAAATGCATGCCTGAGAACCCCAACATGATTAAAAAAGGAAAAAATGCAGGGATTGTAGTTTATCCACCAGGACTTAGCAAGGTACCATGGCATTTTGGCTGACCCTTGAACATGATTTTATTGCTCTGCATCCCTGAATGTGCTATTGTCAAAGTCTATGGTAGAAAAAAAAAGAAAAAAAATATTGGCAGAGTATATTCTCATCTGACAATACCAAATGAGTTGCAGAGATTATCCTTTTCCTTCAGATACTAAATATTCAGGGTGAAGTTTGTTCTCCTGCCATCCTCAGAACTGCTATTGCAAGATTGACTTTTTTTGTCTTTTACTTGCTGGAAAATACCCAAAGAATGTTTTAAGTCTAAACCTAAAGAATATGCCTTTATATTTAACAACTTCTTGGCTTAAATTTGACTGCACCTACATTATGCCAACAGTGGTGTAAGCCAATTAATTTCTGCATAGTCATTCCTAATTTTCTGCACATGAAATGAAGACAGATTCCATGGATTCCGGTATTCTAATTTGGCTATCCAAATCTGAACGTTTTATTCCATGTGTTACATACAAAGTATGAAGAAAAAATCTGGTCATCCTCTATTCTGCTTCACTCCATAAATAAGAAGAGACTCTGATTTGCATGGTCATTCCTAAGGAACACAATACCAGGCTCAAAATGTAGACCTTACGCAGGCCAAAGCTTGAAGGAATGAAGATAGCAAGCTCAGACTCTAATATATTATTGGCAAGTAACTCTTTCTTTTGGATGGAAAAATAGCTTTAAGAGGCTGCAATATTTTTTCCCTTAGTTTCTTCAAAACTTAGATAACTAATTTTTTGCTCTTATTCTTGGATGAAGAGTAATTTATCATAGGTTGAACAAAATAAAAAAGGAAGAGAGTCCAGCATCAGTTAATAAACATTTCTTCCTATTTAGCTGCACAGAATGCTGTTGACAGAACCGGGCACTGAACCTTCCAACTTGCTGCAGTAACATTGCTGGATCTGGAGTGGATCTGGGATTGATACAAACCACTGTACAGCAATATTAGAGTGGCATTCAAACTGGATTTGTCTCTTTCTGCTTTTGTCTTGGGAAACCTTTGATATACTGCCTTTATATATATTTATACATACACACACACACACAGTCCTTTTGCAATTGGCTCATCCTGCTGCATTTTTCATGAGCGAAAAATACTCTAAAGAGACAAAGCTGCAGTAAAGGATTTGCACTTCTGCATTTCGATGGAAAAGCAATCACAGATCACCCTCTACAATTACTGTTCTACAGCCTCTCAGATTCAGGAATATTCTTCTAACTTTATAAACCCTATGTTAAGCCAAATATATCAGTCTGTTACAGGAACCAGCAGAGCTATATTAGGAACAAACTGCAGCCTGTAAGCACCTCAATGATCCTATATCCATTTTAGGTACCTACAGGACAGCTGGACACTCATTTACAATGAAACATGGTGTAACAGTATCATTTTCTGAAGTGGACTCTGATGGCTGCTTTAATCCTCTAATCCAGGTCTCTGCCTTGCATGTACAGTTACACTTCAAAGGCAGAACTGTAGGGTCCTTAAGACAGGCCATAATGACAGGAACCACTTATTTGCACGTAAAAATATGTCTATAGATAAAAAAATCATTACGTCCACACACTAGGAACAGCTCAACAGCCACATATCTCAGGAAAGATTTTTTTAGACATGAAGTCGTTACTCATTTCCTTCAAAATGAGCACAGCTTTCCTTCTCTTTATGTTCAGTGTGCAATGAGAAAAACCTCTCCAGTTCAGAGCCACACACTATTTTGGCTTAAGTCTAAATACGGACACGTATGAAACACCCAACTTGTTGCTCACAGAGGTCACACAGTAAGAAGCCAGTAACCCAAGCCACCTGGCACGTACACGCGGGGCAGGTATTTACTGCCCTTGACCTACAACGTGAAAAATAACTTACGCTGGAATGAAAAAGAACCACATGTTAGAAGCTATGAGTCACTCTTCATATTTATTAATGCTCCCCTTTCCAGAGCTTTCAGCACATAAAGTTCCACACTTTTAACAAGCCACCTCTGTCTTTTCCACCCTGGCCCAGGATGATAAAATCTGCATGTAAGAGTGTATCAGAGAAACACATGCTTTGTTATTCTTCAAAGGTCAAGGAAATAGTCTCAAAATTAATTTTAGTTTAATGATGAGATTTTCCAAAGGGTTTAGCTAAGCCTCTGACAGCAATTCACACAATTAAGCTTAAACAATTTGGTGAAAACAACACCAAACTGAAATACAAAATACATATTTAGATCTACCCCCAAACCTGAATTTCCTTGGAGATCTTACTATACTGGTAAGTGGATGTTCACAAATGCTTAATAACTTCAAGTTTTGAAGCTCCATAATTTAATAATCTTTATCTCATCCAAAACAACAAAGTCCAGAGCTGATTTTGCAGGTCTTACAATGCTTTCCCTGTGTGCTTCTTCATATATGAGATCAAGACTATCATGGATGATACAAAGTTCCAAGATAGCCGCACATTCCATGTTACCATCTGCAAAGCAGTAAGAAAGATGCCTCTCACTTCATGGACAACACTCCAGTGGGAGTGGGAATGAAAAATTTAATTAACTTTTTTTTTTTTTTATGTAAACAGAGAATCAAGAGTGCTCTAAAGCTCAGAGGAATTACTTGAGAAGACACAGGTATTTAGTAGCTCTTGGCTCTTCCATCTTTTCAGTTTGCTCCTGAGCTGCAGGATAAAGGCTGATTTAACAGAACATTTAGATAATTTTTCATATATTTTCTTCTTTGTTCATTATTCCTGTTTAAAATACGGACTGTTTATCGCTGCTACGGACATTACAGGCAGTTAGTCAGCAAACTCAGAAAAAAATCTCAGATGGTTGTTCCAAGGTAGAACCTTCCTTTGTTATTCAGTGTATCTCCACGGGTGGGCACTGACAGAGAACTTTAATTATATTTGGCTGTGAATGCACACATAAAAAGAAGACAAAGTGTGGAAAAGCAGCAAAGTAAAAAAAGTGAAATGTTTTCTGCAGCTACACTTTTCTACCCCGATAGTCACAGCCATTATATTATGTAGCACCATTGCAACGCTCTCTGGCATCAAAAATGTGGTTCACATTGACTCCAGTGAGTGGTAAATGCAGCTATGTTGTAATTTTAGTAATAGAGAAATACTCAGAATGCTGAGCCATCCAAAATACAGCCCCTTCACACTCACCCTTGCAGATGTTAAGAACGTATGTGAAGATAGTGGGAGAAAGACAGAGAGATATACTCCCAGGAAACTTTGTATATTGAAGTAAGACAAGAATTAGTTGTCCTGAAAAAAAAACTTAAATGAGGAAAGGAGCATTTTGAGGTTTATTTTGCTGATCTTGCTTATTACTTTAAGTTATTTTCCTTTAAACGTGAAAGGCCTTTCTTAATTATCCAGTATGAGAAAAGAGTATAGGATTTCTTCAGATAAGTTAATTAAGATTGGAAATGCTGACTGCTCAAGAGAGTTGTGATGAATTATCTAAACTGTATGAATCATCTAAAGCATGTGTATATGATTTTTTATAGGAATTAAATATCCTTTGCAACAATTTAAAACCTTTAATTTTACTCTTAGAAAGAGCTTCTGCAATCAGATATAAAGTACTTGAAAATGTGCATTTATTATCACACCTTGAATGGACTAATTTTTTTCCTCATGTAACCATGAGGAAACACAAGTCCCTAGTGTTGAAATGACACTTTTCCCCATATTCTCAAGAAGAAATGTCTCTCCATTTTTAAACAAACACAAATAAACAAATTTGAGATTTGTTTGCACATTAATATATCAAGGCAGAAAAAGTGGGAAAACTTGTTTAACATTGCTCTTTCTCATGTACTGTAGCCCAAGTTGCTTACTTTACACACTTACCAATAAAATGTGAGACAGATGATGTTCAAACCAGAGGATTCAGCGAATTGTGATTTTGACTCATTTTGCATAGGAAAGGCAATACATTAAGAAATTAATAGACACTGCAGTACAGTAGGATGTCAGATACTGGTCAAAGCAATTTCTCTTTTATACCAGCTTCTATAACGGCTGGTATGGATACTAGGCTCTATAAGACTGCATGCATTAGTTTAAAATAGAAAATGCCAAAACTCTGAGGTGATTACAGTTACTTCAGTCATAGTGTTCTTCCTCATGCTCTGGTGATTATTGCCAATCCATATTACAATTCAGATACCAAAGACCAAGAGTTATTCTGCAACTGTACTGCGTATATATTGTGGGGGGTACTGTGCAATTTAAAGATTGTTCCAGATCTTAACGACAAATACAAGACAAATGTGCAATAGGGTAGGTACTAGTACATTCATTTTTTAGCAAAATCATACTTGAATATTATTATGAACTTATTTAAATATTAAATATTTTACCATGTTACCTACCCTCTAGGAAGTCCACCTTCTGAAGCCCTTCGTCTGAGACTTAATTTATGCATCTCAGCCATTTCCCTTAGAGTCTCTGCTGAGTAAAGGCCAATAGGGTTGTTATACTGCCTTGCAGGGCTCAGCTGGTGTACGGGACTATTGCCATCAGCCAAGGCAGGGCTTAGTTTTGAACCTAGATTACTCTTTGCAGGTGAAATGTCAGGAGTCACAGACTGAGAGGACATGGAAGATCTAACTGTGGTAGTCTTTAAGTAGGAAGAGCTATTTGAAAAGCTGATCTCTTGCTTGTTGAGGTAGCCTGAAAACGTTCCATTGGTTGCTAAAACACTACCCATAGGCCCAGTCGCCGTGTTAGTTAGAGGACTGAAGGTTGTTCTGTTGTCATTGATTTCCCAAGCAGGTTCCTGTAGTAGCAAACATGCAGGCCAAGAAGAGAAAAAAAGAAAAGAGCTATCATAGAACACATGCAAAAAAAAAAAACACATCTGCAATTATTGCTTTTTAAACATATCAATAAACTCACAATAAATAGATTAAGGGCCAAAGCATTCAACCTTTCAGGAAAGATTTTAAATGAAGAAGCTCACTGTTTCAAAATAAAGGTAGCAAAACATACTCAGGCATTTTTGGTTTTTAGTTCAAATCAACAAATGAAAGCTTATAATTAAAAAAGCATTTACTACTAGTCAACCTCATAGCAATAACTGCATACACAGACAACACTGTCCATTAAGTTCTAGGATAATTAAGGAATCTTAGAACATGTCTTGAGGTCAGAATTATTTGAAATAATATACAGACACAAGAATAGTTATTATCGTTATTATAAAAATACATCTCGTTATTATAAAAATACAATTATTCTATTTTTCATAAGTACACTTAAAGTTATTGAAGCCCACACATTGCATTGCTTTCACAGGCTCTCATTCATGCTAATTAGGCCATGCAGCACGGTTAGCAAATAGACCAACTGGACTCAAGAACAGGTATCTGCTCAATGGACAGAAATAGTCTATTCTGATAATTTCTGCATAATTCCCACTTGAAGGAATGCGTGCATGAGTATATAAATGAAGGTTGTATGATCCCACAGCTATGTCCCAGATAGTATTTCTAACTAGGGCAGCAGGATGCATTGTTTTAGTCAAAGTCACAGCTCTCCTGACAATAACTATACCCACAGAAGTATGGTGCTGTACTGTGCTGGGGCTCAAATTAAAGCCATACTTACAAGAACTCACCCTGGAAAAAGGCAATACCATGCTTCATTTTCATAAATGATTTGCTATTAATGCAACTTAGTGAAACTAAAGTAAAAGGTACTATCAAAAAAGAAAAATACTGCTTTTCTAGCAACACAATATAGGAAAGAGCAATTGTCAAAAAAACAAGCAAACAAACAAAAGCATCAGTTAATAAATACAGCTCATTCTCTCAGTTTTGAGGAAGTTACATGTAAAAATTCTGTGCTCATGTTGACTAAAACATCCTCTCTCTGCTTCTGCCCTTCAGTTCAAGCTTGTTCTGGAGTAGCACTATCTAAGTCAGTGGGACTGGAGAGCACTCAGCACTTCACAGGAAGCACTGAGTACCCTTTCGGTTAAATCACCTTTTTTCCTTCCATCTACTGGCAGTGTGTGACTGCAGTTCTGTACTTTTTAGAAGGCTGCCTACCTGCAGTATGGACAATTTCATCAAAGAAGATACAAACTTCTCTTTCAGGTAGTCATTTTACACCTTTCCTATTGATTTTGTTATTTTTATTTATTTATTTATTTAAAATCCAAGATAAATCAGAATCTGAGAACATTCGTTATGGTTGGATATGGAAAAAAACAAACTCACTTTTTTGTTTTTTAAACTATTCTGCTTGTCAGCCTGTCTTTGTCCTGATAATACCTAACTCCGTGGTCTTTTTTTTTTTTTTTTTTTATTTGAGCAAAGTTGTTTCCATACACGCACTATATTAATCTTTAAGCATGTCTGTTCAGCACTTCGGGCTTTCTACATGCAATGTCTTTGAAAATATTTTGGCAATTGTTTTTTTGGGAGGTTGCTTCACACAATGTGAATAATTAGCATAATCAATTATGAAACTGCCTAATAACTACGGTATGGTGTAAAAATTTTACATGTTTAAATAAGAGAAAAAAAAATCAATCTACAGCTGAAGTACCCAACAAACTATTTGAATGCCTGGCAACTTATAGATCTCACTGGAGCCCACAATATTGATTTATAGTTTTTCTCAGAAGCTTAACATCCTGGCTTCAGCCTGATTCAGGCTACATGTGTAAAAGAAGGAGGATCACTTTCCCCTCTCCCTCTGGACCTAGACACACTGCAGCTGCAGCTGGTACCCAGATACCTGCCCACTCCCAGTTAAGAGGCCCACCAGTAATGCTGCCAGTAGGCTGCAGTCCAGTCTGGGGGACAGGAACAGGGGACACTGCTCTGCAGAAGGGATGGAGCTCACAACCTGCTTTCAGTGAAAGCCAGAACACCAGCAGGTGTGGGCGTGCAGGGACACTGTGCCTGGCACTGCTTTGACTGCCATATTTAATATCCTACATGCACTTCCCCCAGCCTTATAAGAATCACAGGCCTGAGAATAATTTGGACTCTGATTTTCTGCTTCTGCTACTATTGGTTACCATTAACATCATTTACTGATTTTAATTTTAAGGATCACTACAAAGATAAATATTTTATATTCTCCTTGGGATTTTTTTTTATATTATATATTTAAGATTAGGGGTTTAGGGAGTTTAGGGGAAAAATCAAGATAATATGACTTGACTAATTATAATTCATTGCAAAAAGCAAACAAACAAACAGAAAACCCAAGCCCGCCCAACAAAATTAAAGGACAATAAAATTAATCATAGCATTAATACATTTAAGACATTTTGCATCAAACACGTAAGTCAGATAAAATGAACTGAGAACATTTTTTCACGGTAATAAACAGGAAGAGATTTTAGCTGGCAATAATAGCTGCCCAAGGCTTTTGAAATAAATAATCATAGAAGTGTTTTTTCAGACTATTGTGCTTTAAATAAATAAATAAAATTGAATTACGTACTTCAGCCATTATACCCTGATGTTGAAAAGGTCAACCAACCAACCTTAAGTGGCCTACAGCAAGTTTCCAAGTATCAATAAATAAGCAGAAAGCACAGATTCTCTCTAAAAATGTTTTTAAAAAGGGGCACATGCACAAGGATGTGTTCATAAATTAAGTCACCACTTGTGCAACTTAATTTTACTTGCTAACAAAGGGGAAAAAATAAACATTAAAAGCAAAACAAAACAATATGGAGGCAATGAAGATGGAAAAGTATATAACAGAGCTATATTAGTTGGTAACCTTGAAAACTCTTTTATCTAAATTTACTGTGGGTTTCCTTTCTAAACCATGTAATAAAGGGATATGCAAAGAGTTCTAATTATACTGTATCAGTGTCAACTGCTAATGCCGATATTTCCTCAATCAAAATGAATTTTTGTAATTTTGTGTTACTGGACATTAACAGTAAGCAAAGGGAAAATTATAGGTCAGCCATAAGTAATGATGGTTGATGATTTTGCCAGGCTTTTTGATGTGGACGATCTTTGGTTTTAGTCCTAAAACAACTTCCAGCTGGAGTACTAGCACACTAGTAGCCCAATAATAGAACTCCTAGGAGCCCAGCAGTGTCAGGTCAGCACTCTCCATTTTGCATTAATACTCATGGCTGTTTCAACATAGGTGTTTTCCCTTTATCTGGGGAGAAAGGAGTGTAACAGAAAGCTGCTGCTTAGTTTCTGCAGAAGAATTACTGCCCAATAATCAGCTCATTTAGCTCTTTCCTGTGGTGATTTACAAAGTATCTCTCATTCAGTTTATTTAGTTTATTCCTGGGATGATTTTTTGTTTTGTTTTTTCCCCTTTCAGTTCAGTTGCAAAACGGATCAGTGCAGCAAAAGGGTTTCTGAAAAGTGAAGGTCACATTTCTAATACTGAGCAGCAGTGTAGCCAGTGGCAGGACGCCTCATGAAACTCAGCAACAGTAACAACCACTCTCTCTTGCTGCCCAGCTCTCTGGTCCCATTCTGTCTCAGCCTCTGTGTCTGGAAAAGCAAGCTAACATTTCCACTTGTGTCAGTCTGATGCTACTCTTCAGCCGACCAGAAGAGGAGGCTCTGACATTGAGCGATGGGCTTCTTTCCCTGAAGCAGGATGCTGTGATCTTGCAGCAAACCCTTACACTACGTGGGGATAACTGGGTGTTGATTTCCCAGTGTAATGTCAGTGACTAAGCTTAAAACTGGCAAATGCAGAGGAGTCTCAAACTTGTGGGATTACAAAGAAGCTATGAATCAGCTCAATTTCCACTGTGCAGTATTTTATTCTTTTCCTTATAAATATTTAATTGCTAAGAAAGGTAAATGCTCCTTGTTACATATGGGAAAAATGAGAAACAAATCTATATAGACAGATACTTTACCTTTTTTGGGGGGGTCTTCATTTGACAGACCAAGTTCTATTTGTCTGTTCCTATGACCATACGGCCTTTCATAAACTACTCCACCTTTTTGCACTTCTGGGAGAACAATTTTAAAACTCTCTGGTGATAGTAATGAACTTGACCTCCCAGCATGCCCAAGAAGAAGCTAAGTGTTACCTTAAGCTTTCCACAGGAAAGAAAATAGAGGCACAATGACATTGACTCCTCTCAAAGACACCCAACAAACAGCTTTTGGCTCAGCCTCTTCTTCCACTTCATGCTTTGCTGAAGAAGTCAATCATCTCTTCATCTGTTTTCTCTTAGCCACACAGGTTTCCAATTTTGTCATGAAACAAGTCCTAAGCATTATGAGATCCTTAATGGGACTTTGAATTAAGTGTGTTTGGTATTGTAGTAATATTATTAAAATTAAAGAGGCTGTGTCAATGCCTTTACACAAAGGGGCAAGCATTAAAGATACGTGTTTAGCCTTCAAGCTTCAGCTCAAACATGTTGAACTGCACTGAGGTGAATCCTCACCTGTATTATGTCCCCCTGAACAGCTGCAAGAACTCACTGACTGTTGATGACTTAGTCTCAAGTCTGTGGATTCACGCATATTCTTGCTATTTGAATACTTCCAGCCTTAGTTATGCCCTCCTCCCAGCTATGCCTCATCTGTGCAAAATATCTGACCTCAACTCATCCTAAATCAAAATTGTTGCGAGTTTGATGTTAGAGAAGGAAATGGGTGAAAATGCAAATCAGTCAACCTCTTATTTCTAATAAGAGTTCTACAGCACAGCTGATGCCATACTTATGGTTGCAGAACCTGTATCATCCATAACATGGATCAGCTCAAGATAGTAAGGAGAAAATGAATGTTACCTGTGGAACATAGACAAATTTCTATCATGCTGCAGAACTCAGGATTTTCTTAAACCTTCCTCACATCTTTTTAAAAGAAGAAATACATGCTTGAAAATTAGTGGAAGCTAGAGTCAGATCAGCAATAATGTGCAAAGGAATTCATGGCTTATACTAAGACACTGAACTTGCACATGCAGATTCTTTAGCTAACAGTGCCATGCCTTAACCTTGACCCAGAGAGAGGTAAGAAAAACTTCCCTTGATGTTCAAGGACAGCCCTATCATGAACCTTTTTAAGGCAGTTTTTTTTGCTATTTTGGAAATGCAATTGAACTCATTTCATGTGAACCATCGGTCTAAACACTGTCAGGCAGTGATGTGGAGGAGACAGCTTCTTGCCTACGTGTCAAAGAATTCTTCATTTCTACAGTGATAACCGCTAATAGAAATAATAAAGGGACAAGCAGGGAACCTTGATTTTCAAGTATATTTACTTTAACATACCTTATTTCAACATCCCCATATAGCTCTTTGCAGGACTGAAGACTTTTTATTCTGGATTTTGAGACCTCTTTTCCAATGGTTCATTCCCTTCCAAACCACCCTCAGAGAAGTCTTTCACTTTCTGCACTGAATATTACCTTGATTACTTTCTAACAGTTAAAATTACTGTTGTCTACCTCCGTTTTTCTGTTACTCAGATACATGCCTTAGCCCAAGAAGACGTAAATCTGGCTTTCACAATTCCTGTTTTTATATCTGGTCAGGAGTTTCTGTACTCCAAAACAAATGTCATTCCTCCTGGCCTGCTACTAGTGCCCCACTGCAGCACTCCACTGCTGCCTGTTCCCCTAGGCCAAAGACCCTACCCCTAAAAAAATGTCTGAATACTGTTAAGAAACCTGTTCCTCACCATACCTCCATTTACATGCTACCTTCTCCCACAGACAGGTCCCTGTAAATCTTTTTTCCAGCTGCAACTACTTTCTGTAGCCCATTCAGAATAGGCTACCTTCAACATGCCCTATAAACCTTTCCTAAGCACCGACACAGAATGCTCAAGTGCAAGACAACACACTTTTTCAAAAGGACCAAGCCCTTTGATTCTCGTATCGCTCTGAAGGATTAAAATAGAAAATGTGAAGTGACCTTTTACTTTATACCTTTTATGTCAAAAGCATTTTTAGGACTTTTAAAAAACTACAGTGTGTGAAGTTAACTCCTCTACAGGGTAGTTAGTTACAGGAGAAAATAGTTTTGTGTGGTAAACAGCTTTGAATGTCTATAGCAGTAATTTGAAAATTAACATCTGCCAGGGAAGAAGCGCACCTAGTATAGAGCCAATAAAAATATGATGCATAGTTCTACAGGCTTTTATGTACCTGTGGTGGATGGAAGTAGTCGGATCTGCCATACCTGCACAGGTGTGATTTAGGGTCTCAAATGATAGTTGTCAGTCTTGTGTTGGTGAATGTTTCTGAAGAGAGATGTGTACTTGCTGCCTTGAATACGAACAGCATTCTGTGTAGTTCTTAAGGAAAATAAGTACTCTCTCCCTCTTCCTGCACTTATTACTTTGCTGGTGCAGTACAACACCAGTCTAACTAAAAGAATGATCCTTTTTCTTCTAGGAATTTATGGTTGGTGACTTACAATAACTTTCTCCCAGAGTGTATTTACAAAATCACGACTTAAGCAGAAACAACTCTGAGGAAGATAAATCGTTGATTTATTTTTCCCTTCCCAAAAAGTTTACAAGATCCAGAGTGAAATAACATTACTTCTGTCTCAACTAACAAATAGCCATTCAGGTTCATTTCAAACTTGGCAAAACAAAGTTGAATCAAATTATTCTCCCCAAGTTCATTCTCTGCTAGTTTGAATGTGTCTGCAGCAGTTAACATGGATGATGTTTACCTTAGGAGCTCTGAATTTGGAAAGCATGGCATTTATTAAAAAAAAATAAAATAAAATAAAAATTATCTATGGAAATCAGAACTGCTAAGAACTGAAGATCACCTAATACCCCATGTATTTTAATTTTAAGTGTTTCTTAGTTATGTTATAAGGTTGGGATGAAACTGCTACTTACAGAATGGGTAAAATTACAGCAATGGAGATTTTACCTCCTCTCCATTTATCTAATTAAATGTATCAGCAATACAAACATCCTCCCCAGAGCTTTAGCCTAAGGATCTTTCAGGCACCCTTACTTCTCAGTGCCTCCAAAACATAGATGATGAGTTGCCAGGTACAGTCAATGAATGATGTTTGTTCTAATATGAAAATTTAAATTATGGAAGATAACAAACTTTGACAACAGAAACCAAGCCATCCATTTCCTCTGCCACTTGCTGTTATTCATTAAATTGACCTACCTTCTCTTTTATCTCAATGTTTATTTAATAATACAACAAGAATACAATATGTAAGTCCTCAAATGCCCTAACAGGTCCCCTTCTGAAATCACTGACTTTTCAGTTGTAGTCAGGATTTAGTTACACTGAGGCACAGTCTAATGGGCTTTTCCTGAAGAATAAATAAAAATAAATGTATATTTTGAGAACTTTTGGTAGTTTCTAGCAGCCTAGATGAAAGCAAAATCAAGAAGACAACAGATTCCAGCTGCTCGACTAGACCAGATTTCATCAGAGGATAGCTAGATGCTTTGGTTCTGCTAATCAGAAAATATCAAAGTACAAATTCACAAGTACACTGCATTATAGGCAGTTTTGCTACCTGTGCATTCACTCCATGTTTACTTATCTGGGAGGGGCAAAATCTATTTTCTGTAGTAGGTTTACCTTTACCCATTTACCTTTACTATGGTAGATAAAAATGTTAACTTTGGATGAGTAGAAATGTGTCACATACCTTCTGGTGGGGAATTACAGCTCTGGGAGAGTCAATTTTGGGTGCTGTGGTTGAAACTGGCACTGGACGTTTAGATCTGGGGATCAAAAAAAAAAATTAATCATGACTCCTAATTTTTGGATAAAATTTTACATTTCATGCAAAAACGTTGCTTCATCTGGAGTGAAAGCTAGGCAAAGCTTAGATTTTTTCTACAGATCACACTGCTTTTTCTACATTCTCATTTGCAAAAGTCTTGGATGTGAGAAATAAAGTTTGATATATTTTCTCTGAATGACAAAAAGCAAGCAGTTACAGAAGCAGCCTCTGACTTGGAAGATCATCCGTTTTCCACTACCTTGTGACAAACTGAATTTTTATAGATGCCAATCAGCCACAAGACATAAATTCAGGTTTGGACAATGCTCTGCAAAATGGGACTTGGAGGAGTCTTACAATGCAAAAACTAAACTTTGATTCTAAGGCATCTCAAGATCAAGTCCTCAAGAGATTATTATTTAATACCTCAAGCTATGTAGCAATTAGCATACTTTAAACTCCTGTGCAGGGAGAAAGATGAGCTTCATATTGGAGAGCACATAGTTTCAACAGGAGTAGATCACTAGCTAGTTTGCACTCCAAATGTCCACCTTTCCCCCGTGTATGATAAATATACATACACGATCATTTAAGAAAACAGATAATCCTTATTAAAATGATTGCAAAACACACTATTCACCCTTCCATTGAAACATTACAAAGACAGACAATAAAGCACAGTGACAAATGTTAACTGAAGTACTTCGGGATGCTCAGCTAAGTGAAGACCTATTTGTGGAGCTTTTGTGAGAACCTGTGTAGTACTGAATAAACCTCTGAAATCCTCCCAGAAAACACGGGATCACAAGAGAAAAAGAAATGAAAAACATACAAATAATCAAAGGAATTGGAATTACACAACTGCTACCCTATTGCCAACCAACAGATCAGTATGCCTGGAATTCTTGTCGATAAAGTTACATTTCCAAATTAGGATAGAGGAACAAAAATGAAATTAATATACTTAAAAGCACACAAAACTGTTACTCGGGCAGAAGTGATTAAGACAATTGGAACTGCTCACTTTAGAGAGGAAATGAGTAAGAGAAGACATTACAGGGGTGTAGAAAATAGTGAATGATAGAAAAAGGGGAATAAAGCTGTGCTCCTGGACATTAAGTGAAATTGAAAAGACAACACATGTACAATTGATAAAGGCAAACATTGCTTCCTAAAGTACTTGACTAACCTGAGGTGAAACTCATTGTTACAAGACAACATTGAGACAATGAGAATAGTAGGATGTCACAATGGGTTAGTCAGATAAACTTAACAAAAACTGCAGAAGATGCTTTAGGTTCAGTAAAAATTAGTAGCCATCCAGTAGTTGGTCTGTTAGTAACAGACCAACAGCGGGAGACATTCCATGCTAGGTTCACTCCTGCTTTACAGAGGGCTGTATTGCACTTTGCTCTGAAATACCTAGCAGTGGCACCTATCAGAGAAAGAGAAATGAGCTAGATAAAAGCTGGGCTTATCTAGTGTGGCAATTCCCGCATTAATACCTATCTTCATGTTGAGCTGTGTATATGGCTTTAGCTGACATACATAAAATACCCATATAAGCAGAAACAAACAAACCAACCAATCAACGCTAGGAAAAATGAGCTAATAATCCATTCAGAAACTGGAAAATTTCTTTATACAAGACATGGAAATTATGCTAGTTTTGAGAGTTGAAGTCAAAGACAATATCCTAATCTGAAAATGAACAATCTGAGGAGATAATGAAAACTGGTATTTTGGTAACCAAAAGGCAATTAACCTACGAAATTCACTGGCATGCTGTATTCCTGAAACAAGAGGCTAGAAAAGGCACTAACGCTGATATTCACGGTATTCACAGTTGGACTACATCATTGTATACTTCCTAAAAAATTAATTATATGAGAAATATATACCTTCAAGTTCCAAGAACAGCTAACCACTAACTGCCTAGAACAAACTTTCCTCAGGCATGTTACTAACTATTTTTCCTTCAGGAGTGATGCTCCACCCTTCCTCCAACCATTTCAGCTTAAAAATAGAAAAAATAAATCATATTTATGTGACATGCACACTTACCATGAAAGGTAGCCGAATCAGAGAATGGAAAAAAATATACATGTATCTATCAGCTGCGGCCCAGAACAAAGAGTTGCTGAAAACTGACAGCAACAATTTATGGATAGGCAAAGATTTAGGGGGAGATTCTGATCCTACTTCCATTGCTGTCATTTCTCAGTAAAACCAGGTATTTCTATGAAGTTGTTGACGGGGACCCGGGCATAATCAAAACCAGAGCCGGGCAGAGCAGACACTAAGTGTCCTTTTTGCTTTGTCCAGTGATTATGAATTTCAGTGCTAAAGTTGCTCAGCAATTTAAAAATTTTTTGTCACTTAGAGTGACATAGCAAACATATACTGCATGTTTGATGCCTAACTGACAAATATTTGTATTGCAGCAAAGGGATTTATTTACCAGACTACTCCATCACTTCTGTGGTTTATTGTCTATTTTTCTCAGTCATTGCCTGACCACAGAAGATGTTAAAAAGTTGTATGTCTTTCAGATATTACTGATAATGTACCTCTATCATTCACAGTGCTATCTGCCTAGGATTTACATTTCACACTGACTTGGAGATTTCAAGACTTTACTTGAAATCAAGGAGGTTCCTACATCTCTTCGCCCTGGATGTTTGTAGCTGTGATATTTAAAAACAGAATGATGAGGCTTGCTGGATTTAACCACAGGTTTTCACCAGAGAAAAGGGCAGAAGAGGTGAAATCAATTTGTGGAATGAGAGACATATGAACTTGTAAAGTGATTGTTTACATAAGAGCTATTATTCCTGAGAGAAGCATCTGCAAATTCAGGACATTTTTTTCTTCCCCCTTTTGCTAGATGAATCTAATCCTGCAGCAACAATTCTAACTTACAGTTTTGCTTTCCAGGTCATGAAGGTACTGCTGTACAAAAGCAAACCTAGGTTTACATTTTAATCCACTGATTGCAAAATTATTTTATTCCAAACACTCAGGGAATGTACTTGCTTAGCAGGGCTGTGAGGAGGATGAAAGTCCAAATTTCACAAATGATTGTGATAGTTACAGATCTGATGTTGAAATGTTCAATAAAGAGAGTTTTATTCCAGTCAAAGCAATTAGTTTAACTTCAACTTTCATACATTCTGTTCTATATTTTCAAAGTTTAAAATGGAAATAAACCCTCCCCCCCCCCAGCCTTAAAAGATGAACAAATGAATCATTCTGGCATTTTCTGAATTCCTTCTCCCACAGTACTGGTCCTCTTCCTTAACAAAATTCAAAAGCAAGATGGATCTAGTTTTGCAAAGCAGTTCCATTTTGATATCACTGCTGATAAAACTGTCAAAATTTCTGCTTGTTCCCACCTACGCAAATATAACTTTAATTGAAGAGCACTTGACTTCAAGCCTGATATTTTTGCACTTGCAGCAAAGGTTCATTAGGGGTCAACTGCATTAAGAGGAGCTGCGAGAGAGTTCTGTAACGCAGGAACACTTTAACCCTTCCTCAGGGGAGCACAGTACTATACTTGCAGAGAGGTGACATGATCTAAGAGATAGTAGCACTTTTTCATTTGCACGACTTCTTTTATATTTTACAATTTTACCAGTCAGTGTCTCTTCTTTACTTCTTGAATTCTCAGGACAGCTAAAACCAACATTTCTTTTCTTAGAGTAATCTGTTGCTTTCATTTTGTTGCATGTGAGCACACGCTCTTTGAGCATCTTAACAATTGTATCGGAATGTCTCAGGCACTGAAAAATGGAAAAAACATCAAGTCCACAGAAAGGTAATAAAACATTAAATTAGGGTTAGAAATACTTAGAAAACATTTTACCTACTTTACTTTTAATGAAATTGAGTAATTATGGAGTGGGTCAGCACACAGTGGGATGCAGAATATAGTTTACAGAGTTGGGGTTCTGACATATATTTGTGTTAATGCAATAATATTTATATTAATGAAAATTTGAAAAGAAAAAGTAAAAAGACTAAATCTTCTTCATGGTCATCAGTTTGACATGTCCATCTTTTGCCAAACAGTGAATTATATTGCCAAACACAGAAGCTTCTTCTTGTTTCTAAGCCTTACAAAGAGAATATTGAGTCTTGTTTTTAAGTTTGTTAAGCCCTGCTTGGGACATCAGTAAAACAGCCTCAGAAACTTCAAAGAGAATCACACACACACACACAAAAAAAACCAACAAACCCTGAGCATTTCACAATACTTCAAATATCACTGTGATCACTGTGGGGCTAGGAAGAGGCATAGTTTTCCCTTATCAGGATATTATCTGTGCCTGCAATAAAATTGATAAATACTTCCATCAGCAGTTTTGCTCTCTCTGTTTCAATGGTGAACACAAATATTAGTATTTGGATGGATGACTGATTTGTTAATTATTTCCCTTCATTGCATTGCACTTGGATGGATTGTAGTACTGGCAATTATGCTTTCTGAGTCTAATGCTCATACCCATCGGAATATATGAAAAAAATTAAAAAAGCCTTATTCATAAATGCGACCAGCCTGAAGGGAAGCAGCTATCCAAACGTTCGTGAAAGAGAATTTGTTTGCAAGTATGTAATACCTGACTCCCGTAGAAGGGATCTGAGCAAAGGCTAGATGTGAATGTTGTGGGAACAGGAGGGAGAGGAACCTTGGAGAGTTTTGTGGAAGGGAGGAATGGAAGAGAACAGGAGAAGCTGTGATTTTAGAAAAGGAGTATGTATCTCAAAATGTTGGAGAAGCAATCAAATTCTATCCCCTTCTTTTATCTTTTCTCCTCCTGTCACACTGCATAGTGCCTGCTCCATCTTTTTTACCCTCCCCCTCATTCCCGCTAGACAGTATCTCTTCACTCCAACTCCTGCACAATCTGCCCTCGAGCCTGTTCCCTCCGAGTGGTGTGCCTGGCTACTAATGCCTCCATTGCCTCTTAGTTGACTTGGCATCACCCCTCGGATTCCTCCACCCCAGCAGCAACTGTGGGCAGAATTTAGATTGCCAAGCTACAGAGAAGGGTTTTACAGAATCAAAACTGAGAGACTGAAATAGAATCAAAATAATCAGAGAGTTCAGAGCTTAATTGTCTATAACCTCACTTGAAATCCCTGAGTTCAGCATAGTTTTTATTATTCATGATTACACGGTTGTATTTATTGTTTCTAATTACTGCCAGATGCTAAAAGATCTAATTAAGGTAAACAAGAAAATAATAAAATGATTTGTTAGAAGAGAAGGACAAGGCGTTTGGGTTATGGAAAGATCTAATAACGGAGAGCAGAGAGTTATAAAAAGCAGGAGAGGCGCTGTCTTTATTCAATGCTTGTATGTAGCCTATCATAACCTGGTCTAGAGACGTGAATCACTCTCCCCAGTAAACAAAATAGGTAGTAATTCTGAAGACTTGGACATCAAAAATATTTCCGTAAGTTCTTCAGCTGGAAAGCATCTGATGTGCAACATAGCCATTTCCTCTGCCACGCAGATAGCGTACCTCTCATTTTTACACTACACCATTGAAGTAACATCAGACTCTAGGGCAGTCCTGCAACTCTTGGCTTCTCAACAGCTTTCTAAAGGGTGAAAGGCATTCAGCTAAAGATTACAGAGCAGCTCTTGGGGTTGCTGTAGAGCATCACCCTGAAGAACCAGCAACAAAAATCAGGGAATCACAGCCAAGCCTCAAAGGTATGATGATGAATCTATCTCCTTTTAAAAAAATACAGTTCACAAAAGAATAAAAAGCTTAGTAACTGCCTTCTGTAGAAACACACGAGTTCAGGTGTTGTCCAAATCCAAATAGGCTTCTCATGTTATGCAAATGAAGTCTATTTTTTCCCCTTGCTTCTCGACTAAAAGCGAAAGCCAAACTCTGGATACTGTGAGCATCCTGACCACAAATAACTTTGGGTTATTTTAATTAACTTAAATTTATTTCCTGAAGCCGTTACTGACGCACATTCACTGGCTGGTTTTCCTGTAATTCCTCTTACTTGGAACGTGGACATTACAATGTGCCACATGGCTTTTAGAGTGTTTCTAATTGACATACACAGCATATATGGAAAGAAAATTTAGAGAACTGGGATAATGAGATCTTAACTACAGTTCAACTCATTTATGCATTCACTCTTTCTATTTTCAAGCTAAAATACATCAATAAGCTTTCCATAAATAACTTTTTTCACCACCTTTTCTGATTGTTTAGAGGACATGAACGGTTGTGGTGTACACGGAGCCAAACACCCCTTGGCACTGTCCCACCACAATAACATTCAGTAACTACTGTCTGGCCAAAGCTTTAGAGCTTGTGAAAGACAGGAAAATCTTCAGCTGTTGCCACAAGCAACTGACATGTTTGCAAGCGCTACCCAGAGATACCTGCAGAGATGCACGTCCTACTTGGTAGTGTGCCAATACCTATATATTTACATCTTGGTTACTAGGCAAAACAGACAAATTAGCAAAGGCTCTCAAGAAACACAAATTGAAAAAAATACATATACCACAGCTACTAGATGGGTCAAATGTTCTTTCTTCACCATTAATTGAGATTTGTTGAAAAAAGAATGAGGCCTTGCAGCTTTTTTAGTGGCTGATGGGCATGCAACTCCACAATAAAAAGGATCCAAAGGAAACCAGTATCCTCACATCCACAATAATGCATCACAGGATTGATCCTGCAAAGCCTTAGCATTTAGCCTGATTGAATGATTCCTCATACCACTTCTTAAAAACACTGTCTCAGCCTTTCCAATCAGATGGAAGCAAATAATTTACATTTTGACACATCCATGCTTAGGCCAATCAACATCAATCAATAAGAAAAGGTCCCAGCGCTAACACATTGTGACCTTCTTGTCAGCTGTAACATTTGGGGTAACATATCAGCTTCCTGGTTGCAGAATGCAACCAATAACTAACTATGCGTTAGAAAGAATGTAACTGTCATGTGGATTGAGTTGTGTAAGCCCATTGACTCTGATGAGATGCGCCAGTGATACTCATCGTGACCTTTCCATGGTGAGTGCAACGTAATACATACAAGAATTCACAAGGAGATTATCTTTAGCTCATCCATAGAAAATTTCTCAGATGAATAAAAGGATGATTTTACCCTCACTTCAGAGCTGGTATTTGGGGGACAGGGAGGAAGTGATGTGCATGCTGAGAACCATTCTAATCCCCAAGCAGAATCTTGCTGTAATGAAAACTTCACTGTCCTTTAAAGCCTTGGCATATATCCACAGTTTCCAGGCTCTTTTCTAAAACTAACAAGGACACTTAATGCAGCGAGTGTAAATAGCAGTCCACTCAAGCTGCTCGTGTAAGGAATATATTTATATTCATTGCAGTTACTGACATTTATATTTTATTTTCCATGGAAAAAGCTACTCATCAATTTTTAAAGCATTAAATGTTACTACTCAAAGATGGTAACTAACAGCCTTGTCGAAATGCCAGCCTAGCATCTAGTAACAAATCCTACTGTCCTCTCATACCTGTGTACAGAGAGGATTGGGTAGGCAATGGGATTCACCTCTGTTTCAACAAGGACTGAGGGAGTACTACTCGTCAGCTCATAGTAATACAGGTTAACTTCCTTAATCCACTAGAAGAGTATGTCTTTTTCAGTGCTCTGAGCACTCAGCGTCATCAGAAATTTGGGGAAGAAACCATGGATATTGAAGGTAAATGGTTGTCAGAAGCTCTAGAGTCAAATGTCTAGGCAAAATAAAGTCTCACATCACATTCACCATTATTGTTACTCTTTTTTCTACTAACCTGATTAAAATTTCAAATTCATACATAATTTGATTAAGTAGGGCATGTAAACATCTGACTATGCTGTTATCATCTTTCCAACAGTAGCTTTTGTAATACCTCTCTTGAATACAGGTACATGCAATTACCTACAGGCTGAAGCATCCAACTGAGTAACTGTCCTATGAAGAGAGGCTGAAGACCCTTACGCTGCCCAGCCTGGAGAAGAGGAGGCCAAGAGGTGACCTCATTGCTCTCTACAGCTTCCTGAGCAGGGGAAGAGCAGAGGAAGGTGCTGATTTCTTCTCCCTAGTCACTGATGGCAGGATGCAAGGAAATGGCACCAAGCTGTGCCAGGGGAGGCTGAGACTGGATATTGGGAAAAAAATATTTACTGTAAAGGTGGTCAAACACATGCACATGCTTCCTAGAGAGGTGGCTGATGCCCCATGCCTACTGGTGTTCAAGGGGCATTTGGATAATACCCCTAATAACATGCTTTAGTTTTTGGTTATCCCTGAAGTGGTCAGGCAGGTGGACTCAATGATCTCTGAAGGTCCCTTCCCACTGAACTACTCCTGTTTATTCTGATTTTTGCAGGTCTCTGAAACACACTGTCCACGTGGTTGCAGATCTCAGTACTCGGCCCAGTCTGGATCAGAATTACTCCAGTGAACATGACATGGAACATCTAGCATTACACCAGCTTTGAATTTTTTTTCCTGATATTTAGCCAGTATTTTCTTGATTTAACTTGTAAATTCTGCTGATAATCATAATAGCATATTTAAACAATTTTTATAGAACTCAGGAAAGGAACAAATTAAAGGGCAGTGCTTAATTCTTTTTTTCTTTTTATACTCTGATACTCTTTTCTCTTAAGTGTCATCTAATTTCAGACTATATTTCTATGGCAATATGAACATATTTGTACTTGAAAATACGGTAAGAGCCTATCATTTCTAGTGAAATGTTATCGAAGCAAGTTGAAACATGAGTAGTGTGTTTTGAACACTTAAGGCTGAGTTGTTAAATACTGTGTTCTGATAGGGGACAGGCATTCATATCCTTAGTCCAGTCTGACATGGTAGCAATGGACTTGCTTCTGCATCCAGTATTTCAGAAGTCCTTACTGGAGTCTCAATTGGGTCCTTGTCCCAGGAACTTTTCAGTGCTGCTGTGCTAGCCATTGAATCCCAGGTGGAAATCCTGAGCTGTAAAAGTGTTGCTGCAGTCTCATCCAAGAAGCAGTTGTTTGGCACTGGGAATTCAGCTTCCATGGTTTTAAGACAGCAGTTGAAAGGCAATAACAATGAGGAAAAACCTAGTTACCCCCAGAATGGACTTCAGGAAATGCATTCCGAATGTTGAACACAAGCACTAACGAATTATCACTAGCATCAGTGTTCTCTTCAAAAACAGAAAAAAAAAGTCACGTTCACATAGGCTCAGATTCTCCTTTTATAATTAAGTAGTGCCTGAATGGAAGCATCACTAATTTGATGAATGTAATAAAATCATTCAAAGAACGAAAAAAATTTCAAAGCCATACTTTTATTTTCAGTTGGGTTTTACTGATAATTTCCTGTTTGGCAATGTTTCTACAGAATAGTTGGAGTACCACTATTTTAAACTGTGCTTTCATGGCAATTGCCTACAGAAAATTGTTTACCCTTGAAGTGGTATATACACCCTCTTCTAATTTTTCAAGCATAAACCCACCCTAGATCTGGTTCTGATTTTAAAATGTGCCTATCAGCAGACATAAAACATGCACAGAATTGTTTACTATTTACAGCTTCAAACAAAAGAAAGCAGTTTACAATAACCACTGAATTTCCTTTGCTTGCAGTTTACTGTCACCACAGGCTTTATTTATAGTAGGCCTGAAATAAATACTGCAGAATCAGCCATCTATTGGTGCTGTGCGAAAAAAGGAAAGCTATTAAATATTTACCATAAATCTCTCATAGCTTTGCCTCTGATTCTTTCCCTTTTGCTAGAAAAAAGGATTATTTAGCTCCTGATTTTCCAGCAAAAGGCAGTCAATTGTGGCTGCCTGGAAGTAAATGGTGCTCCATCACTGGCATGCCTTTGGAGCGGGAGATTGTGTCAATGCCCGCCAGGCACAGAAGGCCTGCACCTTCCCTGCTCCCCTGCAGCAGCACATGGTGACGCCAAAGCAGGCGTCTTCGAGTGTCACAGGAATGCTTGTGCCAGCAGAATGAGACACACTCATATTACAGCACTTTCCAAAACTAAGTCAGTACATTTGGTGAATCTTTTCCAAGGAGGCTGATCAGATTCCTTGAGTTAAGATCAAATGAATGTTGTGGATGCTCCAGTGAAATGTGTTGACAAATAATACTGCACTCATGCATTGCATTTACTGTGAATTTAAAAAAGAAACCTATTTGTAGCAAATAAAAATAGATTTTGCATGCATCTCATTTTTCACCTGTGAAATGAATGCTGGAGGACAATAAGCAGATGGTCTAGTCTCTGTGGAACAGACATCTTGTTAAAGATGAACTTTGACTGGCCCAGAACAAAAATGCCTCAGGGCAGCTGTGTAGCTCAAGTAACCGATTAGAAACTGATACTGAAAAATGACTGAGAACTAAACTCCAGTAAGGCACAAAAGGATTAAAACCAATCTCTTTTTCCACCAGAGTTCATCACAGAGTATGATCATAGCCTTCCACAGCATTGTCTTGCAGAGCTAGCACTATCGCATTCAGTATGTCCTGAGTAATATGGGTATCGAAGGAATCACACAACAGTCTGGGTTGGAAGGGAACTTAGAGATCATCTCCTTCCAAACCCCCTGCCACTGAAGAATGAATTCACTGCAGCTGTGTAAGTACGTAATGTTTTAGAACACCAACATTATTGTTTGCCTGAATATTATTGTACCTCATGGAGCTCTACTGTGTAACAGTGCTCAGTGTCAAGGAACTTTCCCTCACTGCTGCTCTCTGTCCTGCAGAGAAAGAGAATTCACTTGCTAGATATATCCTTTTGTTTTCTAAACTGAGGAAGCAGAGCTGGCCTGGCCTCTCTTCCTCTAAGAACAGTCCAAATACTTCAATTCCTTACCACACCACTTGCCTCTCTGTGTCTTTTAACTTCCCAATAGCAGCACAGGGAAGGACACTGCAAGTTTGAGAACTAGGTATCCAGAAATCGAAAACAAGCAGTCAGGAAAAGGCAGCATTTCACTCAAAGGCCAGTAACAAGTCAAGTTCTGACTGCCTGATCAAACCTCTGGCAGAGTTGGCAAGACCTCCATTCATGTTTTGTTGTCATGTTTTGTGAAGGTTCATGTGAAACCATAGCAAGGATGAGGTGATGAAAGGTAAATTTAACAGTGAGTTTAAGGAAGGAAGTGGTCAGAAAACACTTGACACCCATAACTTCCTATAGATATCCCATAATGGGATATCTATATGACAAACATGGACAATTGAGCGCTGGCCAGCACTGCACACCAAGCACTCATTGAAGAGCTATGTTAGCTACACTGAACAGTGCAGATTGACAGTACTTGAAGAAACACTGTTTGTGTACTCAGAGAAGTGCAGATTCTCATTGTTTGTGCAGAAAAGTATGGATGGGCAGTCTTATTGCTTCCCCTCTGCTATATTTGATGTCTTGCAGTTCTATGTCCTGCACAAGTGCTGACACCGCGTACGCTTTTCTTGACAACCAAATAAAAAATAACCAGTCCCCCACCCTGAAAAAGAAACTCCACAGGGAATTTAAGTGTGATAATAAAAGTGAGTAGCAGCAAACGGTGTCTGAACTGTCAGGTTATAAACAACGCTCATGAAACCTTCTTGGTCAGGATCAATAAAGGAAAAGGCCATCACTCTTGAGAGCCAATAGCTATTAGAAAAATAAAAAGCTTTTGGTCTCAGAGTGCTTACATCTAGATTTCCTGTTCCACTGCTTCCTCTTGGCATTATAGACTAAACAAGCGAGTTCCCTGTGACTTTAGTGCTGCAACAGCGGAAACAAGCCACAGATGGCCTGGTAAGGCATTCCATGATCTTGAAAAGTGTTTTGTAGAGCAATAAGACTACTTCACATTAATGCCCAAGATCATCAGAAAGTAGGGCTTAAATTTTCCTATCACAGCAATCAATTCCTAATTTGCATATATGACTTTCCATTTGAAAGGATTTCCATTTCCAAACTTCTACGCATATTAGATAATTTAGTGTCCCCATCTCTATAGCATGTACAGAAACTAGCTTTTGTTTTCCATAGTAGTAGTACAATCCACTCCAGCTCCATTGCTGCAAGCTATTTCAAAAATTAGAAAAAAACTTTTTTCCTGGTAACCAGGTCACAGAAGGTTTTGATTTTGTCCTTTTGATCTTTCTGTGGTTGAAAATTACAGTCACTTGCGACCTATCCAATATTTTTTGTGTTAACTATTCTTCTGCTCACGAATGCAATTTTCATAAAATTTTGTGTTGAAAAATTTTGTCTCAATATAAAACACAATGATCCAATAGAAATCAAACAGATGTTCTAGATATCACAAAGGGTTTTCCTTAACTTCCAAATAACTAAAAACAATTTAAATCATTTCTTAAAAAAAGATGTCATACATATCTCTTTATCATTAACATTCATTAGAATATAAAAATTAGAGTATAAAATAAAGTATACATTAGAGTATAAAAATGCTGGAGTTGGCCACACGATGACGATTCAACTACATGCTTCCAAGATAGTGCCCCATCATCCTCAAGTATTTCCATGCCACAATAATTTTAAGAGAGCATTTTTAAACTGGCTTGTGATATAAAGCCCATTTCAGTAAGTTTAGGATCAGGCTCCTGATCGTTTTATTTTAGCAGAAAATCTTGCCTAAGCACCTTAGAGAGACACTTGCACATCATATGAGGTGGTAGAAATCAGTCTAGGCATCTCTCTATCTTCCTGGCATTTCTTGAAATAGCTAGACCACAACCTCAAAGAAAACTCTGAGAAAGTCTGAAACATTTGAAAAGTGGAAAGCTCTATTTTAAGCTCTTTTCTGGGGAATATATAGATCTTCCCAGTGTTCTCACAAAAGTTAACAAATATGTTGCTAATTTGTTAGCATCTTTTCACTTTATGTACTTATTACCTGGAGCATCCACTTAAAGACAAACTTGAAAATTACAAAACCATGTGGGAAATTCAGCCATACATCTTTCTTTAGAGTATCCTGCTAAGTGGGGACTGTTAGCATTAGGTCAGAGGTTGGACTCAATCTTGAGGTCTCTTCCAACCTAGAAATTCTGTGATTCTGTGTCTTGGAAACCTAAGAGCTAAAGCTCTGTGTCCCTTAGGTGTTAGCCTGTTCTTGATGCTACGTAGCTCAACTCTGTATCGATATAAGATTTTCTGGTATGTTCTCAGGAATTTTATTTCCCCATTACAATTTTTTTAATTACCACTTTCTATGTCAGTCTTTGCCCAGCCTATGTAAAAATTACCTCCTCAACAAGGCAATAAAAATGGCAGTTACTTTGCTTCGTACTGTAACGGAGCTGTAAATGTTAATGCAACTATTACAGAACATCTCAGTGCAAGCTTATCTGACTTGAGAGCAAGTTTTCTAAAACAGAAGCAATATTAACCTGGAAAAGTTAAGAGATCTGTTATGTGAAGGGATTCTGTGACTTCCAATCTCACAGGTGCTAAACCATGAACAAAGATTCTCAGCCTGCTGTGAGCATGCACTCTGGGGGTGACAGGTTCCCCCCATTGGATCAGAACACTTGTGATATGATGGCTGTTTCTAGAACAGTCACTCATAAATGACCAAACAAAATTGCATGTTGCCCACATGGGAATTTGAAAAAGAAACATCACTGTTGGACTTACTTTTTAACAAGAGCCTGAATTCACAGGAAATACACCTGCATTCAATGGGCTAAATTCAATACAGAAACATTCACATAGCGTATCAACCATATCGATACCTATAAAAAGCCACACCAACTTCTACAAGAATCACAGCAGATTTTAACTGTGCCTGCTTCAAATAAATCTAACAAGCAAAGACGAAGCACATATCCTTTAGTCATGAGTTTCACAGAAAGCCCTTCAGAAAGCAAGAATTTTAACTTAAATCAACTTACTTCTGAAGAGTGAGGCTCAGGTTATAGTTGGCAGACTTGATCTTGTTCTGAGCCTCTAAGTGGGTCATGCTGTCAGTGTTGACTCCATCAATGGCTACCACAAGGTCCCCTTGGTTCATCTGTGACTGTGCTGCCTTGCTGCCAGGGGTGATCTATGTGGGAGAAGAGAAGAAAAAGAAAAGTTCTCATCAGTGTAAGTCATTCTGCACGCAAAGCACTTCTACAGAACCTGTCCTGAATTATAATGGGAGATTTCCCCCAACTACTGCTATTGCTGCAGCTATTATTGTATGAAAATTAAACAAACTCACTTAACTCACATTTCTGAAAAGGTCCAGGACAATGTCTGCTTGTCATTATTTACATGTCAAGAAGTTAAATCGAGTGTAGTGGTTCTCTTACCACATATTTTCTCCTCCTCAAGGGGATAATTATCATTACTTATATTGGAGTAGTATATAGAGACACTAGAATTGGAAAACTAAGAAGTCACTATCTGCAGCATGATTTTTTTTTTTTTTTTCCTCCTAAAAGTCATTTTTCCCTAATTAATTCATTATCCTGAGCTGACAGAAAATGGTTGTGTGTGAGGGGCCTTGGGCATGCTTTCCTTCTTTTGTAGTGAGCTTTATAGGAAATACATGTAATCCTTCTTAACCTTACCCACATGCATTTACAGCTCCATTACCAAGACACACCACTACATACCCAAGATAATCTCATCAGTCTGTTGCACTTGACACTCCAGAAAAACCACCAGCACATTTAGAAATAAGAAGCCCCAAAGCTCTGACTACAAACCCAACTATTGTGACAACAGTTTAGAAACTCTGGTTGCTCAGTATGGCATTGCTCCGTGTCAGCTCCAGATGCCTTGTGGCATGCATCTTCTTCAAGAGGACAGTATCCTGACCTTCATTTTATGTAGCCCCCTCAGCCTGCAGCTGTATGACACTGATTCACTACAGCCATCTCTGCAACTTCGCTCCATTAGGGAACACCAACTGAAAGAGAAGAGTCCCCACATACCTTCAGCCACATCTTAGTGAGTACATCAGATTTGTCCTCTGTTCTCTGCACTCAGTATATAGAGGGTACAGACATAAGCTGTAGTCTTATTTTTTTGGTACACACTTCCTTACATTCCTCACTTAAAACAAACAAAAAAACACCAAAAAAAGCACAACAACAACAATAAACAACACAAGGATAATCTAAAATGCTACAACAAAGACTGCAGTCCACAATTCTCGTGCCTTCTGTACACTGAGCATAAAAGTGAGATGTGTCTGATTGTAAGCCAGAATTGTTGTGTGGCGGGGTGAAATACATTGACTTCTCTCTCAGTTTCTCTGATTTCTGCTTCTTCCAGTCCAAAATTTAGATGTTATATCTAAAAATAAAGACACAGTGGGTAACTACTACTGACACAGAATTAGAGTCAAATTAAGAGCGAGGAGATGGTCATACTAATGACTTGGTTTCACTTACCCTAGTGGGATATTTTCTGCCTAATACTTTTAGAAAACACTACCAAAATGAAACGTGTATTTATCAGAAGAACCTATAAAGCACATATTCCCAAGCAAATTTGGAACTTGAACTATGGCCATTGCATTGGCCTATCTGAGGCTAAGAGCTACAGAAGTGCTACAGAAAAATTGTGAAAAATAAGGAAACGGTCATGAATCATGGCTTACCAGCCAGCATTCCTTTATCTGAAAATGAAAGGAAGGGGATTTATAGTCATCTCTTCAGCTACATATAACGACAGTAACAAATTCTGCACTGTATTTCTTCATACAGCTCTACTGTTCCAATTCTCATTTCAAGAGCCAGTGCAGCACTGATGTCAATTTCCCTCTAAAATTCAGTTTATTAGAGCTGCATAAACAGTACTATGTAAGACTTTCAAATTTTAAAGATGGATCCAATTTATTCTATCCATAATTCACAATTGTAAAAACATCAGGAAAGGATTACTTCTTTCCCCAGTCTTCTCACTGGCTAATAGATATGTTGTGTAGATTACCTGGTTCCCTACAGCTTTACATAGGAAGCACTGTTAAAATCCAGAATTCTAATTTGTATGAAGTATCCCAATCAAAATCAAGAAATAAATCTATTTTAGACAGAAGCTAACAGGCCCATCTGAGAAACTTTCAAGGGAACCCAGAGTGTGCAGTTACAATGGCCATTGAGAACAGTCAGCAATTGCTGGGGACAAAATACCAGTGTACATATGGAGATACAGGAGAGCCAAATCTGAAGTGTCAAGGCACTTTCAAGACTATCTTGTTCCCATTTTTAAAGATCCAGCAGAAAGGAATGGAATGCAAAGTGTTTATCTATTGGCATGCTCCTTACCCTGAAAATTCAGCTCTCATCTACTACTTACTTACTAAATAATCACAGACAGAGAAGATCTGTCTTTGTGAAAACTTCAGAAATTATTTTCTATGTAAAAAGTTGTAAAAAAATATTTAGAAAATGAAGCGTGAATTGTTAATTCTACCTCAAAATTAGACTGAAAATCCAGGCGCAATTGTCACAAAGTCAATTCTAGTTTGCTTGTAACCCAGCTTCCCTTTAAATACAAAATTAAAAAAGCGATACTGAATATAGAAATATAATACTGCCAATGTAAAATATAGTTTCATTTTGTCCACTAATGCTTTTATCTTAAAACATCACTAAATCTAGACAGAGCTATTTCAGAAAACCTTTGTAATGGTCTTACTCACTTGCTCTAGGTTACAGCACAGCCTTTGGATGCTAGGTGTTGCGAGTGACTTTTAGGGCTACAGTGAGACGTCTGCCAGAGATTTACGGCATAGCTGTAATATCTGCCAATTGATTTAAAACAAAACAAGAAAAACAAGCCAGAATACTGCTGACAGTAAGATCTAATTTTAACAGCATTTCCTTAGCACGCCAAGCACAGACTTCATCTTGAAAAGCAAAGCGTATTTCACCTCTCTCAGAAGAGCACAGAAGCACTCGCTGCTTCAGAGATGTGGATTTTTAGCTCTCAAAAATTTCCTACAAGGGAGACATCTGACTTCCAATATCCCCAGCTTAAGGCAAGTGGGCTAGCTGGAAGTATCACATGTTGCTTTGAATGCACCACAGAGAATTCTTACTACACTCTTTTGTGAGGAGAGCTGTATACTGGGTGAATATATAGCACACCAGTGACAGCTGTGCCCTAAAAAATAAGTCTGCACCGGGTTCAGAGTAAGTGCTACTTAGCAGGAGTCCTGGGAGGCAGTGTACAAAGTGCAGCTGCTGCACCACCTTGAGAGCAGCATGTGTTCTCGTGCAAGCCCCCTCAGCTCCACTCCGAAGGGAGAGGGACAGGGATCAGGCAGCATTTGAGTGGCTGAGTGTTAAAATACTAATGAGAATGCTTGTATAAACAGATGGATGGACACAGCTTCCCTGCCCCCAAGGAATTCCTAATTTACAGACAGACAAAAATACATACAGAGGCCTACGCAAGTGAGAAGGTGCTAATACAGCAGCTTGCAGCATTAGCCAGGGCATCTTCTTTTCCTAGGACTTGAGCTATGCCTGCCCCCTTCCTGACCCAAGCCCCCAGATCAACAAGTTAAACTTTTCTCATTTAAGAACAGCATCTCACTAGCTCTAGAAATAAGCTAAAGCATTGTGAATGAATAACCTCTTCTACTCAGGATGTCTAGGACACAAGACAATATTGAAAGGAAATGCTCCTTTCCATAGTCAGAAAGGCTAAAACTCTGAGACAGGACATAAGCTATCAGTTACCAGAAAACATATTACTGCAAGAAAAGGAATGGACAGATGCTAAGGATCATTAGAACATAAAATCTATTACCCTGCAGAGAAAGCAGTATTTAATCTCCCTCTTAACTTTTTGCCACTACATTTTTATATAGAAGCTTCCAACAAACCTTCAGAGGCTTTCTAAGCACCGAGGCTCACAGTGGCTGGGAGCAGCAGGAAAACTTCCCAGAGGGGCATGACCCACTGAAGGAGACATTAAAACCCCTCTGCAGACCGGTTAATACTGAACGCCCATATGAACCAACTACTTATCTCTGGACTGAAGGCATCAGCTCCTCTCCTATTTACATTGTGAAAAAGTTCACTGGGGAAATTTATATTATTGTTTCTTAAATGTTTCCCTTCCCATCCCTGTCTCCATAATTAATGTGTAACAATTCCAGAGGGAAATTCATTGGTTTTCTTAGATCATTCTGGACAAGAAATGACAGCAAAGAAAAGGAGTAAAACTCACTGGGGTAATCCATCCGACAGAAATTCACCACTTCACCCTGCACATTGCCAGAAGGCATGAAACAGGAACAAAGGAAGAAACAACCTAGACAGCCTTCCTCATACAGCAAGCATCCCACTATCTTTGATGATGGCTTTTATACCTTCCAGGTCCAGATGGAAGAACTGAGCAACCCTGATTAACTGTAAAGGCATGGGGCTGCAGAATACTGCGAATAAAAGTCCTTGTACGTATCATTAACCACTCTTAGAGAAAGTAAGCTGGAAAAAGCAGCGACCATTTTCCCAAAGACAATGCCTGACTGTTTTTCAGTTTACTACAAGGCTCCTTAATAAAAACAAATATTTTGCTTGGGTTTTAATAGGAAAACAAACCTGACCTTAAATAAAAGCTCAAGGGATCTGCAAAATATGCCACTGACACCTTGAAGAGTTTCCATTTATACTAACCAGAGCCGAGCTGGCAAGCTGCAGAGGCATTCTGAAGTGGCCTCTCAGCCTGCGCTTCATCTGTAGTTAGGAAGGAAAATTACAATACATGTGAGAACACCCAAAATAGCTTTAATCTACTTCTCTTGCGTACTAGGAGCCACAATGCCACAGAAACACAGGGATTTTGTGGGACAGCCAAAGGCTTACAATACAGGACACTCTGTGCTGAGATCTGTACTGCAACAGCAGAACTGCAATTAGCACTTGAGCTGTGCAACCTTAGGTATGCCAAACCACGGTGGCACAGTGAAATGCTACCTCCATAACCAACAAATACTTACTTTCTTTTTAATGCCTCCCCAAGGCCCCTCTTCATCCACAATATATAGACTTTTCAAGGGAAATGACTAGGAAGCAGCTCTTCTTGCTGAGCTAAATA